GGGATTACAGGCATGTGCCACCATGCCCAGCTAATTTTTTGTATTTTTAGTAGAGACGGGGTTTCACCATGTTGACCAGGATGGTCTTGATCTCTTGACCTCGTGATCCACCTGCCTCGGCCTCCCACAGTGCTGGGATTACAGGCATGAGCCACTGCGTCCGGCCCGGCCTTCCTCTTTACACTGTTTTCCTTCAGCAAGTTCATATCTTAGAGAAACAAACCTTCCATCAGGTCCATCGTTGTCTTCAGCCTGGAGTCTGGATCCAGAATGTCTGCCAGAGATTTGTCTTGGTGGACAATTTCCTTGGCCAGAGCCTCTGTTCTAATGTCTTCTGAGCTCTTCTGAGGATCAGAACTGACTTTCTTTTCTAAACCCTGAGTTCCATTGACTGGATCATGGGTGAGGCTTTGAGTCCGGGTGGGTGCTGGCTGCCCACCAAGAGACCCAGCAAGTTAGGGCTGCACCCTCATGATGGAAGGTGGTTTGGATTCAGCCTCTGAACCCTTGATAGAAGTTTGGAGTCTAGAAGCCAGTGTCTGACTACCTACCACATACACTGCACTAGACAAATGCCTTTCCCTTGCAATTGTCACCTCAGTTTGTTGGAGCTGGGGTGCGGCCTCTAGGGGACCTCGCTGTCCAGCTGTGCCTCACACACAGCATGGGGAAGAGGTGGAGGGAAGTCATCCATGCTATACACTGGGGTTTCCTGACTCAGTGGAGGAGGTGGGGGTGGGGGAAGAGTTTCAAATGTGGGGCTGGATGTGGCCTTGGGGTGCAGATCCCTCATAAACACTTCGATGTCACAATCCTTATGAGATCCCACAGGATGGACTCAGATATTCGGAGGGAGATCCTCCTTGGAGTGCTCAGGGCCCCAACAGGCGTGCCTAGGTCTGAAGTGCTGCATGAACTTGGAATACTCTGCTGTTTTTGATAGTGCTTGAGGTCTGCAAACTCAGGGGCTGAGGATTCCTCAGGAAGGCTGTCCTCTCTGGCTGCGTGGGCCCACTTGACTTGAGAAGGAGCCGGCCGCTGAGGCAACGAGACCTTTTCCTCATTCGCTCTTCTACCCCATGCTCTGGGCCGTCGCCCTCACAGCCTCTTGGACCAGGAGGCTGGGTCAGGGTGTGACCATTGCTTCTGTGGGTCATGGCAGGGGTGTAGGGCGGGAGAGGCTGTCACCCTGTCTGACCATCCTGTGAGCAGTAGCCAGAGGCAACGGCTGAAGACAGAGGGGTGCCAAGGGGGGTCAGGGGTGCAGCCCTGGTGTCTGTGAGCTGCCCTTGTGTTCCTGCCAGTGGTGGCCTGGGGCAGGGTGTCCTGCTAGCTTGCCTCTGATGGTCCGGGGTTCCAGGACATTCACTAGGCAGGCAGGAATCACCAATGGCTTTGTAGCCTGAACCACCCCAACGAGGGGTGGGATGGTGGGAGAGAAACGGCCTGTCTTCTTGGCCTCTTTCTGAACAGAGTGACCTAGATCCAGGACCAGCCAAATAACATGGATCCTTCAAAAGACCAAAGCCATTGTCTTCCCCCAAAAGCACATCCTGGCGCTTGTCTGCGGTGGCGGGAGATGACCTGTACCTCACATGGACAGGGACAGCGAGGACATCCGAGCGTTCCAGCAGGTCCTCTGCCGACACGGACTTCCCGGCCCTGGGCCCCCAGGTGGGTGGCTCCCTGGGGATCTCACCCACCCTCTGGGTGCCCCTTGTTCCACCGTTTGCTCCACTGAGCAGCTCCCTTGGGACCTGGAGGTCCCTGCGTCGCCGTTCCACGAGGCGGCGGCCACCGGCGAAGGAGCTGCTGCGATCTCGGGGAGCCTGCGGGGTTTCTGCAACAGTGGCCAGCAGGAGCGTGGCCTCCCTGAGGGGCTGCAGGCTGGGCTCCCGCAGTGAGCTCAGGCTGGAGGCCAAGGCGCGGCCGGGGCCTTCCGGCGCCGCGGGGCAGGGCTGGAGGTATGTGCTCTGGGCGCGCTCGCGCAGTGGCCCAGGCTCCTGGAGGCCAGCGCTGGCGGCGGAGGCCGGCCACCTGCCCGTCTTGCCCTGGATGTAGTCGGCCAGGGCGCTCTGCTGGAACTGCTTCAGCTCGGGCCCCGACAGACTGAGCGTGGCGCAGCCTTTGCCATCCCGCTCGAAGAGGCGGCGCCGGTCGGCTACGCTGCTTTCCTGGAAAAGCATCTCCTTCCCCTGGGGGCCCAGGGGTGCCGGTTCGGCCTCCTCCGCCACCGCCACCTGGTTCATTTTCTCGGACTCCGAGTTGGAGCGCTTCTTCTGGTCCGGGGTCAGGCGCCGGCGATCCCCTCTCCGAGCGGCAGAGGGCGCCAGCCTGGCCAGGTCGCCCTCGGCGAGAGTCACGCTGTGCCGCTCCTGCGGCGTGTGCAGGGAGGCGGAGGCCAGCGCCTCGGAGCTTCGCAGCCCTACATGAACCGAGCAGGGCCGTGGCCGCCAGGGCCTTGACGCCGCGGGCGCCCCCAGCTCCAGGTTCCGGCGTGGAAAGGAAGTGGCCCCCAAAACGCGGGACTGTGCGTCCTTAATGCTGTTCCGGTAGGCGCCCCTGAAGGGGGCATTCAGTAGGGGCGACTCGGGTGAGCCGGGCCTGTCCCGCCACTCGGCCTTCCTCTCCTGCTCGCTGGAGAGCTGGAAGGTGCTCTGGCTGCGGAGGAGGCTAGCGTCAGGCTTCTGGGGGCCACGGCCGCGGGCCGCAGCTCCTCCGCTCAGCTGCTGACCGCAGGGCTGCCGGGAGGCCTCCTCCAGCTTCGGCTCCCTGTTTTTGAAGTGCTGCTCCCCATTGCCCAGGGCTTCCGCTGACTCAGAGAAACGCATGTGGGCTTTCGTCTCCTCGAAGTCATTCCCAAAAGTACTGTAAGTTGAGACGGTCCTGCGGGGCCTATGGTTAAGACCAGAACCCGGGCCGCCCACACTCGGCCTGCGGCTCCCTTGCTCTCGCTGCTCGAATTTCGAGACCTTCTCCAGCACCGAGCAGTGGGACTTTCCGTACTGAAATCCTTGAAGAGTCCGGGCGCTGCCTGGGCCGGACCCCCTCCGGCCGAGACTGGATGTGTGCGGGTGCGAGGGGGAGGGCGGCTCTTCGGGCCTTGGGTCTGCGCTGTGGAAAGAGGCCGAGGCACCGGTCCTCCCCTCGGGCCGTGGGTAGAAAACATGCCAGGAGCAGCTTTCCTCCCAGGGTCTACTGCCTTGGTGTTGACTGCACAGGTGGGCCTTCCCCCGGGATAACTCTCCTGGGCTCCCTGGCCTAGCTCCAGGCTGCTGTGTCGTCTCAGACTCTCAGGAATGTTCTGGAGAGATGAGAAGGCGGACTTGGTTTTGCCAAAGTTGCCTGATAGACTCTGGCCTAGGCCTTCTCTCTCCAGCCGCCTCCAGAGGTTGGCATTGTGGTCTTCCTGGAAATCGCCCTCCCAGGGCTCTGAGAGCCTGGAAGATCCCTTCTCTTCACCCGCTTGCCAGTCCGGGACCTGAGGGCATTTGACGTTGTGGGGATGAGAAGATGGTTTGTTGCTGTGGGTGCTCTTTCTCTCATTGGGATGTGGGCTGTTGCCTTGGGGAGGTGTGAGATGTCTCTTCAGGGAGGCATCCTCCTCATTTTCAGGCACTGAAGAAAAAAGGACTTTGGAGGGGACATACTTGGCTGTAGCTTCTGGTTTCTTCTCTACCGGGGACAGCAAGTCATGTTCTAAGGGCTGGCAGAAGGTAAACTCAGGCCTGCTAGATCCATTCTGGCTTCCATTCTCATCAGTGGTAGCCATCTTTTTGCACGCTCCCTGAGCGGCTATGTATCCACTCTCCTTGGCCAGTGCAGGGTAGAGAGTCCCGCTGCCACTCACAGAAGGCTGGGGCACCTGGGCAAAGTGTGGCTCCAGGGAAGGTACGGGGTAGATGCTGGTCGGCAGCAGAGGTTGGCCAGGTTGGGCCTTCTGGCTATGATTATGCTTGGGCTTCACTGGGGAGCTGTTCTCTGGACTCTTCTCCAGCACAGTATGCAGCTGCTCCTCTATGAATGGAGACTTCAGTGTGCGTAGAGAGTTTGCCGGCAGAGCTGTTTTTGATCAAGGCTAGACCAGGAGCTGGGCCGCTCACGGTGTCAAAATGCTGCATAGCTGTCACTCCGAGCTGGAGGCAGGGGTGCACCCACTTTAGGAGGAAGGTTGTCAGTGGCAGTCTCCAAGGAACTGGGGCACTGCTGGCTCCAGGATGGGGGTGGCACTCCCTTGCCCCTAGGAATATTAGACCATTTATCATAGCCCTGACCATCTGCTGAGGCTCGGGCCTCCCTACCTTGAAGCAGGAGGGCTGAAGAGATTACCTCATACTCTGCTGAGACTCCCCTCCGGGTGTCATAGACTGTCTTCACATAGCGAATATCTGCCTGCCTTATCCCTTCGAGGCCACCTTGAGCAGAAGTTGTGTCCATGGAGCCTGAACGCTTCCGGCCAGAGATGCCAGGGGATGGATACTATAGGATGCTAGAACTGGTGGAGAAAGAGCTGTTAAGCCGAGTCTCTCTTGTTATGGAAGTGGCTGAGCTGGTCAGTGCTGTCGGTGGACTTGGCAGGGGAAAGATGACAGGGTGGGTATGCCCCACTGGGCTCCAGGCTCTCCATGCTTCCCTGGGAGCTGCACTGGTCAGGGCTCTGCCTTAGATAGGCATGGTCATAGTTGGAAAGGTCACTCGTAGAGGAGCTGGAATGGTAGCTTTGGTGCCAAGGAGGGCCAATCATGCCCTGAGATATCTGCATCATGCTGGCATCGGGTTGGTTCTCCCCAAACTTAGTTGTGTGCCACGAGTGAGGTCGGCCTGCAGGCTCACTGCGCCTGTGCTTCAGCTGAAGTTTAACCCCTCCTGACAACACTGCTTTCCTGTGCTGGAGGCCAGAGGTGAGGTGTTCTGAGCTGACAAAGTTAGAGTCACCAGTATCTGCATGGCCTGGGTTTGCACACACATCTCATCGCCGCTTGCCTCACGGCTGCCGACCCCAGACTGCGCGGGTCTCCAGGCTACGACAAGTTCAAACTTCGCTGCCACTCAGAGGAGGCGAGGCGGGGCGGGGCATCGCCGAAGGGTGAGCCCAACGCGCTCAGTAATGGGCAGCCCGGCCGCCCCCGCGCCACTGCGCCCCGGCTGCGGCGGCACGGCGGGCTGGGGGCGCGCAGCTGGAGGACGCCGGTCCCAGGCAGGGCGCCGAGGGTGCGGGGCGTTCGCCTTCCTCGCCTCCCGCCCGGGCCCACGCAGTCCACCCAGCGCCCGCCGAACCCGAGGCAATTTTTGTATTTTTAGCAGAGACAGAGTTTCACCATGTTGGCCAGGTTGGTCTTGAACTCCTTATCTCGTGATCCACCCGGCCTGGTCTCCCAAAGTGCTAAGATTACAGGTGAACATCACACTTTTAATAGTAAAATATAGTAGGTTTTGAATAGACTATTGTTGTGGCCATTTCTTCTTTAACCCTCTGCCAACAATCTTTATTCAGATGTAATTTACAGAAGTGTTTTTGACTGAATTAAGCTTTTGCTTCACTCCAAATTAACTTACACACATGCAGTGCATACACCTAGAAAATGCAAGGAACTTTGACACTGTGGAGATGCTGTGTTGCAGGTTGCAGGTTTCATATTTAGCTTCTTTTGAGAGCAATCAAAAGTTGACTCTCAAGAGTCTTTTTAAAGGGGAATTTGTCATTACTCCTGCCCTCCATATTAAAATATTCTAAGCAGGTTCTTTGGTTGTCATTCATCCTGGTGGGTATCCTGTGAGTGTGTCCTAGAGGGAGTGTCAGTACTTAGCAAGGTCTCTCTACCAGTCGCTCTCCAAGATGAGCTCAAGGAACATTGCCACTGCCGACATCCCTCTCATGACAGTATTTTTTATTGTCTCCAATATATGAAGTGAAAGAGTGTAAAGGGGAAAACCTAGAAAAGATACAGCAGATATGGTTCTAGAGTCACAGATTCAAATATTTTGTAGCTAAGATTCACTTTTGAGATTTTTCTCGACATTGGGATGACTTTTGTGGTATTGGATTATTGGTACCTGAGGCAACACACTTTGTTCTGTTGCTCCAGCCCATATTTGTAACAGAATCAGCTGAATGTCCCAAAATTTCAAAGATTAATACCCAGTGTGTTGGGTTTCACTGTAGTGGATATCACTTGTCACCACTGCCTACCACTCCATTCACTAGTGGGAACACAGTGGCTCCTAAACAGCTAGAAACATGATATGGAAGCAGGCTTGCTCCCACTCCCGGCTCCTCCGTCCTGCATCAGCATTCCTTTCTTTTCTCGTGTTCTGCCAATGTAGACAGGCGGGGTTAGATCTATGCTTTTCTTCTCTTAGGATCTTCTTTCCATTCCCCTTTGCCCAAGACCAAGTTTATTACCACATTTCTAACATGCATCTTGCCTACTTCTCATGTACTTTCTTAAAAAATTATACAAGATCTAAAGGGACCACTGCAATCTTGACCACTAAAAGGTTTTGGGGTAGGATGTAACTCAGATGATGGTTTTTGTTTCCAATTCTAGAGAAGATAAATGGATTTTACTGTTTTTTTTTTTTCTAGGAGGCAGCTTCTACTGCTTAAATGTGTACCTAGTCACTACTCTCTTTTTTGATAGCTGACATCAGCACAAAGAATGTTTACATTTTATTATTCTAGTGCATGGAAGATTGTTTGATTTGTCTCTCCTAAATTTTGGGGGGTAAGCTGATTTGTAGATAAAATAAATAATAAAACTGAAGTGGATATCAACACATTTAATGGTCCTAAGTGCTTTCAGGTAGTTTCTAAACCAGCAATGGCAAAAAAGTTTTATCTCACATAAACACTCTAATTGCAGGTGACTGAATGCCTAGGTTGATAAGAATTCTATATATCAAATCTGGGATGTAGATTTGCCATAATGAATTAGTGACATCATATGAAAGGGATAGAAAGTGTTGATAGTCATGACATATAGTCCATTCTTGGACAAAACCAACAGAGAGAGAGAATTACTTTGTCAGTTTAAAGTCATTTCAAACGTTGGGGAAGAGTTCCAGGTAAGAACCGGTAGAAGAAAAGACAATTCATGTTGCTATACAGAGGCAAGAGGATGTTGACAAATAGGCATATTTTTGAGTACAATAACTTTTTGAAAATGTGCTAAAATACAATGGTATTCTTGAGATGATTATGCAGACCATAGTAGAAACTTTGAAGGCTAACAGCGTGTCATTGCTTATTTTCTTAGCTCAAAATAATAAAATACTGAGAGTGAAAAGTGTAAAGCAGATGAAAATTGGCCTCTTTACAACTGAATGAAGATGCTCTTTGCATAGCAGAAAACATTTTTGAATTAGACTTTCAGTGCCCTACATTTAAACATAAAATTTAAAAAGATATTATTTTGCTGAACTCTATGAAATAATGCTTTTGCCATTTAATGAAAAACCAATTTCCTCATAAATATAGAACTTGATGTTCTTGGTTTAGATATCTTCAGAAAAATTTTTGTTGTGGTCGTTTTGCTTTAAAATGTGGGTACCCTATATTTAGCTTAGAAATAAAACAGTATAAGTTTGTTTCAGAGGTGTTAACTTGGAAATATGATTGTCTGTGGCTAGGGTGCATCAAAATGTCTGAAAAGGTAGTGCAGTCTTTGTAAATGCAGGCAAATGACTTATAACTGTCCATAAAATGTGAGTAGTAACATCAGTGAAATCCTTAATAATATAACCATTTATTGTCTAGTGAGAAACTATTCATTAATGTATACCTATTTGCTTCCTGATTTCCTTCTTTTCCCTTCCTCTCCCAACTCCTCCTCTTTTTGTTTCCACAAATATTGACTTTCTACTATGTTCCAAGAACTACATAAGGCTCATGATACCATGGCATTGGTGACCCAGATAGACAAGGATTTTCACTTCACAGAATTTACAGTCTAGTAGGGAAAGCCACGTGTTTATCAAGTTATTAATAATGTGTTGTATCAGGATGGACTGAATTGTCTAGCAGTATCCTTTTTTGGTGGACAAAGGAGAAATTTGGGGACTAGAAAAAGTGATTTCAATAATGCAACTATTTACTGCTTATTAATATGAGAAAGGGATAGAACAAATATATTTTGATCATAAAATGTCCAGTGGATTTATTTTGTAAGGAATTGGGCCAAATTAATATTGACAAGATAAATTAAACTTTTTGTTTTTTGAGATAGAATCTCACTTTGTTACCCAGGCTGGAGTGCAGTGGCGCGATTTCATCTCATTGCAAACTTCACCTCCCGGGATCAAGAGATTCTCCTGTCTCAGACTCCCAAGAGTTGGGGACTGTAGCTGGGACTGCAGGCGTGCATCACCATGCCCAGCTAATTTTTGTATTTTCAGTAGAGAAGGTGTTTAGCCATGTTGGCTAGGCTGGCCTACAACTTCTGGCCTCAAGTGATCCACCTGCTTCAACCTCCCAAAGTGCTGGTATTACAGGTGTGAACCACTGAGCCTGGTCGATAAATTAAACTTTTTAGTATATACTGGATATATAATCCTTAGAAAGAAATTCAGCCGTGTAGTGGCAAACTGTGTCCTGTTACCTGGGTTTGGTTCTGTGGTATCATGGTAATTGCCAACAAATGGCTCCAGGCACACCCAGCTTCTTTCTAAACTTTACATATACATCTGTCTTGACCTCAGGAGGGTGATGAATGCTACTGCACTATTGAATGTTAATTATTAAATATTTTAATTAAGCAAATTAGTTTCTCATGCATCTAGCTATGGCTTTAATAGTTTTTCTTTCTTTTTTTTTTTTTTTGAGACGGAGTTTCGCTCTTGTTACCCAGGCTGGAGTGCAATGGCGCGATCTCGGCTCACCGCAACCTCCGCCTCCCGGGTTGAGGCAATTCTCCTGCCGCAGCCTCCTGAGTCGCTGGGATTACAGGCACGCGCCACCATGCCCAGCTAATTTTTTGTATTTTTTTAGTAGAGACGGGGTTTCACCATGTTGACCAGGATGGTCTCGATCTCTTGACCTCGTGATCCACCCGCCTCGGCCTCCCACAGTGCTGGGATTACAGGCTTGAGCCACCGCGCCCGGCCCGGCTTTAATAGTTTTAATCCAAAAAGTGAATTTTCTGGTTTTCAAAGCTATTGCTAGTAAAAAACCTCACAAAGAATGACTATTGCAAAATTGAAGAACAATCAATTTAGTTTCTTTAAAAAGAAAAAGGTTGTTATCCACAAGAAATAATAATTCTTTGTTTAATTCAATGTAAGAATATTAAATATCTCAAGATGTAAAATCTGCATGCTTCTAGCTTTTGCTCCCATGGACTTGTGAGAATTAGGATTTGAAAAATAATGTCACAGTGAAAACAAAATGTAAGAGTAATCTTGGCATTGCACCAGAATCAGAAATATACTTAATAGTCAGAGATATGTGATAAATAATAGAAATTCACTTCTTATAGTGAAATATTTTACAACCCAAATTTAAAACAAAAATATAAGACTATATCATTTTGATCTTATTAAATCAAGATGATTTAAATTCTCTAACAGTTTGTTATTTTACAAGGGAATTATGCTAAGCATTTCTAGCATCATTTGATACACCTGAGTGATTTATTTCTTTTCTGACTATATTAATTCAACCACAGATTGTATCTCATGAGTGCTTATCCACATGTGTTCAGCGAGCTCTCCTTTTTATGAATACAGTGGTCAATTGAATGGGACTGGAAAGATGCTGCTTTAGAATAACACTCCTAGTTTCATAAGTATGCCACTGTGAGATTGCAATCAGTTTACAGAAAATAAACAATTAAGTATTGTAATAATACAGTTATCTGACTGAGCAACAACTTAATGGAGTGAAACCAGCTCTCTGATGGGACCCATTGGTGGAGAAATGTAATTAATCAAACAGCACACACCTGTAGTTGGTCTGCTGATTCTCTCTTGTGG